TATTTAAATTCAAATTGTTAAAGTATTTTTAAGGTTGTTTACTCCTAAATAATAATAATAATAATTTCATAATATAATGAATTTCTCAAAAAGTATTTTCTTCTAAATTTCAAAAGTTTTATTTTATTTCGTTTTGTATTTTTTTTTTTTTTTTTTTGAGAAAAATATGAATTTTTGTTGACCAATGGCTACTCAGTGACCTTTACCATCTTTTTTTTTCTTTGTTTATTCAAATTGTTAAAATACTTTTAGAATTTATCACTAAAATGTTTATCGTTCATTGTCACATACAAATTTACTTTTTTAAATGACAATTTTCTCATTGATCATTTTATTCTCAAACACTAAATTTGTTGAATTCATTTTTTTTTTTTTTGTTTTTAATCATTTCTTTTCATCTTACCGATTAATTAATTTTAAAAAATGTTAAAATAATATAAAATATAACCAATGTGAAATTTGCATCGATAATTTTTCATTTATTTAGCAGCTATGAAAAGAATTAGCTTTTAATGATGCAGCAATCACTGATTAACTGATACTGATAATTGATAACTGATCAATCGATTTAATTATACTTTTAACTTTTGAAATTACTCTCTTATCAATTGAAAGTAACTTTTCATTTACTATATGATAAGTAAACATATATAAATAATTAGTAGATGTTTTTTTTTTTTTTTTTTTTTGTTTTAATTACAAATTTGTTGAATTCATTTTTTTTTTTTTTTTTGCTTTTTTCATTTCTTTTCATCTAACCGATTCTTAAATTTTAAATTTTGTATTTTAATTACTGAAATGAACAGAAATTAAGAAATTTATGCTAAAAAAAAAAAATTGTATAAATTGTATGATTTATTATTATTTAATAATATATTTTAAATAAAAAAATAGCAAATTTTTATTAGTTCAAATATAGAAATTAATTTTTATATCAAATTAATAATTTCATATAAAAAAAAATTTGAAAAAAAAAAATGAAAAATTTAGAATAAAATGAATTTAATTTAGTTATTATCATATTAAAAATGATAGTATTTAAAATAAAAATTTCAATAAATTTAGCAAAAAATATAAGATTTTATTTTATTTTATTTTTTTTTTAGAACATAAAAAAAAAAAAAAGAAAAATAAAATTATTTTTAACTTTTTGATTTTTTACTTTTTTATTTTTTTTTTTTTAATTAAAGTAATTGTAATTTAATATTAAAGATGAAATTGGCATGTAAAAATTACCTAACATTACACTTAACTTTAATATTTGAATTAAAAGAATTAATATGAAAAAAAAGAAAAGAAATCAAAAATTTTTTAAAATTTAAGAAAAAAAAAAGGAACAAAAAAAAAATTATTAAAAATGAAAAAAAAAAAAAAAAAAAAAAGGAAAAAGTATTAGAAATAAAAATAAATTTAAGCAAAGAATAAAAAACAAAAAAAACAAAAATTAATTGTAATTAAAAGTAATTAATATTTAAATACTTAAATACTTAAAGGACATAAAAAGAAGATCACAGTCAGATAAGCACAAAATTTTGTAATACGAAATGGAAATAATAATAAAAAAGAAAAAAAAGAAAAAATACTATTATATTTTTTTGGAAAAAAATAAAATTTTTATTTATAATATTGAGAAACAAAAAAAATTTTCAATTAAATTTAAACTTATTTAAATTTAAGAGAGAAAAAATTCAAATTTTTGATTGAAAACATATAAAATAATTTTTAATTTTAGTAATTTAAAATTATAAATTATTAAAGTTTAAATTTTTAGATTATAGATTTTAAAAAAATTATAGGTTATTTATTTTAGATTGTATTAAGTTACATACATCGATTAGATTAATTTGATAAATTTTCAAAAAGATTATAACTGCTTATCATTTTTTTTTTTTATCAGAATGATATAATAAAATTATAAAAAATAAATTATCATATCACTAATTTTGTTTTTTATCATCTTTTGAGATAAATATGGAAATGATCGATTTCTTTTTTAAAAAAAGAAAAATAATTTATGAAAAAGATAAGAAATATAGTTTTCCATATCAAAAATAACAATTTTAAAAGATAACAATTAAAATGATAACAATGTTACTGATAACATTTTATTATAATTAATCATCAAAAAAAAAAAAAAATAAAGAATATTCTATACTATGTTATGAGATATTTTAAAATTTAAATATAGTTAAAAATTATGAAAAACAGTAGTGCTAATTTTGATAATGAAAATAAACATTTGATTAATTTATGAAGTAAACAAATTGAACATCAGTAAACAAATTAAAGCCTTCTAATTTAACGGTAAACATTTAATATAATTAATTAAATACGAATTAATATATATATACATAGTTTAATTAATTAAAATAGAGAAAGAGATTAAAAGAGAAAAAATTGGATTAATATAATTAATTAAATATGAATTAAAATAACAAGGATATATATAGTTTAATTAATTAAAATAATTAGTATATGTATAGTTTAATTAATTAAAATAGTTAGTATATTATATAATTAAAATAAAAAAATTAAAAGAGAGAAAATTTGGATTAATATAATTAATTAAATATAAATTAAAATAACAAGTATATATATAGCTTAATTAATTAAAATAATTGGTATGTTTAATTAAAAAAATAATTGGTATATTTTAATTAATTAAAATGATTAGTCTAAAGTTTAATTAATTAAAATAACAAGTATATATATATATATATATATTGTTTAATTAATTAAAATAATTAGTATATTTAATTGAAAAAATAATTGGTATAGTTTAATTAATTAAAATGATTAGTATTATATAGTTTAATTAATTAAAATAAAATAACAAGTATATGTATAGTTTAATTAATTAAAATAATTATTATAATTAATTAATTGAAAAAACAATTGGTATAGTTTAATTAATTAAAATGATTATTATATATTAATTAATTAAAAAAATAATTGTTATAGTTTAATTAATTAAAATAATTAGTTTACCGTCGTAGTATATTTTAAAAACGCGAAGACACAATTTTCGTTTAATTTTTTTTTTTTTTTTTTTTTGAAAACATTTTAATCTCTTTTAAGTCTTTTTCAAATTATATTTATCATGAAAGAAATTGTGATAAAGAATGGAGCAAAAAGAAAAGAACAATGAAATATTCAATCAAATAATTTTAATTTAATGAAAATGTTTGACACAAAAAAAAAAAAAAAATTTTTCGTCTCAAACATTTTTGCAACTATTTGTAAATGAAATTAAATATAACAATTTGTAAAAAAGAATGATTATTTAATATTAAATTAAATATTTTATTTATTTATGTAATATAATTTTAGATTAATTAAAATGAATAAATTAACAAAAAACATTTTTCAACAAAAAAAAAAATTTACTGTAAAATAAATTTTTCTGTAATGAATCAAATTGTATTTCAACAAATGTCAAATAAAAAAAAACAAAGAGAGAGAGAGAGAGAAAGGGAAAGAGAAAAAAATAGGAGAGAAGAAATAAAATAAAAAATTATTAAATAGCAATAAAACAGACTGTTCATTTAAATTTAAAACCTTTCCATATGGATTATCAGTGTAATTTTGATTATTTAAAGTAATTTTTTTTTTTTTAGAAATTTTTTTAGAAATTTTAGAAATCTCTAAAAATTCATTTTAAATAATTTATTTATATATTATCTTATTAATATAATATGTATATATATTATATATTAATCATTCTAATTTTTTAATTTACATTTACACTAATAAAAAAAAAAAAAAAAATACTAATTTAACATTGTTGAAATATCTAAAATATTATTATGTGGGTAAATCCTTTTCGGGTAAATAACCAAAAAAAAAAAAAAAAAATTTAAAAAAATTAAAAAAAAAAACTGAAATGAAACAAATTGATAAATTTAACTTTTCGATGAATTGAAAAGAAAAAGTTTAATTACACACTACAAAATGACAAAAATATAGCAATTATTTTTAAAATTAAATGAAGATGAAAAAGTTTTTTTTTTTTTTTGAAAAAAAAAATATTAAAATAATAAAATATTGTAATTAACTTTTAAAATTTTTGAATTGATGATTGAAAAATTGTAAAAGTTGCTGAAATATGAAAAAAAAAAAAAGAAAAAATAAGAGAAATAAAAGTGAAAAATTTTTCATCCAATCAAAACTTATATAAATAACTCATAAAAAAAAGGAAAGAAAAGTTATCAATCATTTTTCTTGCTCAAATTCATATATTTTTTTTTTTAATTTTATTTCAATATAAAATAAAATTATTAACCATATCTTAGTGATTATCTAAAGTATCAATGATAGTTTTTTCTCTTTTTTTTTTTCATTTTTAAATTAAAATTTTTATTTATATATGAAAAAAATAAATGTATGTTAAAAATTGATTTCATTATTTTTAATTGTTAACTTAGTGAGTTTAAATTGAGAATTATTTTACCAAAAAAAAAAAAAAAAAAAATTGTCTACAAAAGCTACGCAAATAATATAAAAATGCTTTGGAGCAACGATTATTTAATCTTCTTTTTTCCTTTTTTTTTTTTTTTTTTTCATTTTTGTCCCATTTTATATTTTTGGGAAAATTTAAAATTTGTATTAGTATTAATTTTACTTTTTCTTCCATCTGAATCCAATCCCATCCATCTATCTTCCATCTGAATCCAATCTCATCCCTCTCCCTTCCATCTGAGTCTAATCCCATCCATCCATCTGAATCCAATCCCATCAATCTACCTTCCATCTGAATCCAATCTCATCCCTCTCCCTTCCATCTGAATCCAATCCCATCCATCCATCTTCCATCTGAATTCAATTCCATCCATCTATCTTCCATCTGAATCCAATCTCATCCCTCTCCCTTCCATCTGAATCTAATCCCATCCATCCATCTTCCATCTGAATCCAATCCCATCCATCCATCTTCCATCTGAATCTAATCCCATCCATCTCCCATCTGAATTCATTATCATCCCTCTCCCTTCCATCTGAATCTAATCCCATCCATCCATCTTCCATCTGAATCCAATCCCATCCATCTCCCATCTGAATTCATTATCATCCCTCTCCCTTCCATCTGAATCTAATCCCATCCATCCATCTTCCATCTGAATCCAATCCCATCCATCTATCTTCCATCTGAATCCAATCTCATCCCTCTCCCTTCCATCTGAGTCTAATCCCATCCATCCATCTTCCATCTGAATCCAATCCCATCAATCTACCTTCCATCTGAATCCAATCTCATCCCTCTCCCTTCCATCTGAATCTAATCCCATCCATCCATCTTCCATCTGAATCCAATCCCATCCATCTATCTTCCATCTGAATCCAATCCCATCCATCCATCTTCCATCTGAATCCAATCCCATCAATCTACCTTTCATCTGAATCCAATCTCATCCCTCTCCCTTCCATTTGAATCTAATCCCATCCATCCATCTTCCATCTGAATCCAATCCCATCCATCTATCTTCCATCTGAATCCAATCCCATCCATCTATCTCCCATCTGAATCCAATCCCATCAATCTACCTTTCATCTGAATCCATTATCATCCCTCTCTCTTCCATCTGAATTCAATCCCATCCATCTTTCATCTGAATCCAATCCTATCCAACCATCTGAGTCTATTCTCATCCCCTTTTTTCCCTCTGAATCCAGTCCCATCCATCCTTCATCCATCTGAATTCACTCTCATCCTTCTCCCTTCCATCTGAATCCATAATGCAATTTGTATTATAAGCATGATTAAGAACAATTTATTCATAGATTAAATTTTAGTCGAGATTTTAAACTCATTTAAATTGTGGTCTACTACTAATGTATGTGTATGTCATCATCTAAACAGACACAAACAATCATATATGACTGTCCTCCAATCATTCATTTGATCCGCTAAAGATCGGCGATCATTATTGTTCGATTAAAAATTTATACCAACTCATCAATACATTATTTTCCCAATTTTCAATCAAACATTTGTTAAAATTAACTGAATAAATATTAAAAAAAAAAAAAAAAATCAAAAATTTTCATTCCTTCAAAAGATTATTATTAATCAAATAATTTTTTATTTTTTTTTTTTTTTTGCTTTTTTGTTTTCTCTTTTATTATTGATCAAAGTTAGTTATAAATTTATTTGCAATTCAAAAAAAAAAAAAAAATAGGAAAGAAACAATTAATGAAATTTAAATTTAATATAAAAAAAAAGAAAAAAGAACATATAAATACATAAGCAGATATAGAAAATATTATTGAAGTAAACAAACAATTTAAAATCAGATATAAACATTTTTTATTTCATTAATTTATTGAATGTGATTAAAAACACTAGTTTTGCTAATAGTTAACTTTACTTTACTTTACTTTATTTTACTTTTCTTTTTCCCTCTCCCTCTCTCTCTCTCTCTCTCTCTCTCTCTCTAGATAATAAATAAAGAATGAATAGCACATGTATTTATTTATGTTAAGAACGAAAAAATGAAGCATCAGCTTGCCATAAACAAACATTTTCAAAACACTTTTACATTTCAGTTTGTTGGATTTCAAAAACAAATTTGAAGAGAGAAGAAAAACTAAACTATCCTCGTTATGTTGATTTTCTCCTTTCCATTCTTTCCTCTTTTTTTTTTTGATGTGAATGTTCATTCAAAAAGGCGCATTTGTCCGTTTTGGGACATTTGTTCGCATCTGTTCATTTTTATGATTTCTGCTCTTATCAATAATAAAAATGATGACTTGCAGTGAAAATTTTAAAATGAAAATATGATTCGTTGGATGGAAGAAAAAAAAAAAAGCATCAATAAAGATAAATGCGAATGCAATTTATGATCTATCAATAATATCATCATCATCATTTATTATTATTATTATTATTATTATTATCACCATCATTTCCTATTATTTATTTATTATTATTATTATTACTATTATCATCATTTATTAATATTATTATTATTATTGTTGTTATTATTATTATTTTTATTATTATTATTATAATTATTATTATTGTTATTATTATTGTTGTTATTATTATTATTTTTATTATAATTATTATTATTATCATTTATTATTATTATTACCATCATCATCATCGTTATTACTACTATTATTTATTTTATCATTATTATTATCACTATCATTATCATTATTATAAACATCATCGCTACATTTATTTATTATCATTATCATTATAAATATCATCATTTTAATCATTATTTATTTACTATTATTATTATTATTATTATCATTAGCATTGTTATAAATGTTATCATCGCCGCTATTATTTATTTATTATTATTATCATTATTATTACCATTATAAATACTATCATTATCACATTTATTCATTATTATTATTATTAAAACTTTATTTTTGAAAAGAGACAAGAAAAAAAAAAAAAGTGAGGTTCAAAAAAAAAAAAAAACCATAAACAGAATGTCATAGCAGAATGACATTTAAAGATAAAATAAAATGTAAGAGCGATCAATGTGACATATTGGAACCAAAAATGGTACAAATTGACTGATCAAAAAAAAAAAAAAAAGCAAAAAAAAAAGCAGAAAATTGTCCAAAAAATTAGATCCATTAACTTTTTAAATAATTAATTTAGCTAATTCATTTACCAATTCTACACAAAGCAATAAAATATTGTAAATAAAATGTACAAAACTGGTTTTTAAAAAATATATATTTTATTTAATTTAAAATGATAATAATAAATGCATTCTATTCGTGCATGCAAATTTGCATGCACTGCACTTAACATGCACTAAATTTAGCAGTGCTTTTTTCTTTCCTCTTTTTTTTTTTTTTTACATTTCATTTATTTTCTAATAAAAGTTTGATGATAAACAACAATAATACATTAGAAAAAGAAAAAATGCTTTTTTTTTTTTTTACATTAAGTAAATATGTCAAATAATAAGTAAAATTTTTAACTTTTATGATTGATTTCTCTTTTTTTTTTTTTCACTTTTAAAAAAATTTGAAAAAAAAAAAAAAAAAAAAAAAAGAAAAAGATATTCGAATGAGATGAAATTATCAATTGATACAACTCTCTTTTAACTTATTCTTTAATTTCTTTACCTTTTTTTTTTTCTTGCATTAGGGTTTATATAAATAAATATTTAAGTATTTAAGTAACAAACTATATTGAATGTGATTTTTGATTTGATCCAAGAAGAATAATTTTTTTTAAATTTTATAAAAATTACTTTACACAAAATATTTTCTCATTTTTCTTCTTCCTCATCAATTTTTGTATTCAATCAAACATCATTTTTTAGTTTTATACTATGATACTTTGTATATTTGTTAAACATTTAAAAAAAAAAAAAAAAAAAACGATAACCAAAATTTAATTATTAAAGAAAAGAAATTCGATAATAATTTCAACTGTATAAATCAAAAATTCGAAATAAATATATTTTTTTTTTAAATGAGAGCAATTATTTTAGCTACTTATATACCTTAGATTATACATATATATTTTTCTTTTCTTTTTTTTTTTTTTTTTGATATTTATAATGTGGCTGATAATTTTGATAATTTTATAACAATGAAAAGAAAATTTTTTAATGATTAAAATTTTTTAAAAAAAAAAAAAAAAACTAACTTCTTTTTCGTCGTATTCTGATTTAACTACTGTATGCATTATTGGCGGTGTTGGCACTTTTGGATCTTCAATTGTTCCTTCTTTTCGTTTCCGTTGATATTGTCGTCGTTTTGTGGTACTTCCGGTAGCATTTATATTGGTATCAGTTACCGTTATATTATCACCAGTTGATACCGATTGATTAATACCACGAATTTTATCCATATATGAATGAATTTCAGTTGTTGACAAATTGCGCTCATTGTCAGTCATTTAAAGAATTGTTATTTGTTTACTTTTCTTTTCTTTCTTTCTTCTCTCTTTGTTTTTGTTTTTGTTTTTGTTTTTTTTTTTTTTTTTTTTTGTTTTGTTTTGTTGATTAATTACAGTTTTATTATTCTTATCTGCAATATGAAAAAATTTCATTTTAGATTAAAATTTTTTCTTTTTTTTTGACGAAGAAATTAGCGTAAAATTGCAAACAAAACGACAATAACCGATAAATAATTTTGTTAAATTTAAATATAACATTAAAAAAAAAATAAGTAAATAAATAATCAATTAATTAGTTAGCACAAATTATTTAATCATTAAATATGAATTTAGTAGAGCTAAATTGAAAATATAACATTATTTTAATACAAATTATCAATCATATTCCGAAAATTTAAACTAATAAATGCTATTTATAACTTTTTTCATCGAGAATAATACAATACATCTTTTAATTAGCAATAATTTTAACAATAAAAAAAAAAAAAAGAAATAATATTTTAAATTGATAAAAAATGAAGAAAAAAAAAATCCATCTGAAAAGCGCACATTCATTCATCGCTTTTCATTTTATTCTCATTTCATCCTAATTTAATTTCACATTTTTCTAATATACAAATATAATCTTATTTCCTCTCTCTTTTTTCTTTTTTTTTTTATCTTTTACATTTTTCTTATTCGTTAATAAATTTATTGTTTCCAATTTTTTTTTTTTTTTTTTTAAATTTTCGGGTAAATACTAATTATTTGGGAAGAATTTTCATGTTAACTATTAAAATGAATTGTGTTAAAAGTTATAAATGAAAAAAAAAAAAAAAAATAGGCCTAAATGGAAGAAAATAAAAAAAAAAAAAAAAAACAATTCTGATATAATTCAATCAATTAGGAAAATAATTTATTACCAATTATAAAATTATAAAAATTTATAAAATTTTTCGAATAAAATATTTTAGCAGCAACTATTTGATGATGGCATATTCTCTATTCTCGAGTTCCTCTCGCAAAAAAGAAAAAAAAAAAAAAAAAAAACGAAATTCGAGAAATGGAAAGATACGAAGAGCAGAAAGACGATCAACACTACGACAGGATTGTCAGAGGTGAAAAAAATGTCGTGGTGACACACACATACACACATATACACATACATACACATACACACACACACACACATATACACATACATACACATACACACACACACACACACATATACACATACACACACATACACACATATACACATACATACACACATATACACATACATACACATACACACACACACACACACACACATATACACATACACACACATACACACATATACACATACATACACATACACACACACACACATATACACATACACACACATACACACATATACACATACATACACATACACACACACACACACACACATATACACATACATACAAATACACACACACACACACACATATACACATACATACACATACACACACACACACATATACACATACACACACATACACATACACACACATACACACATATACACATACATACACATACACACACACACACACACACATACACATACACTATTTTCACTGATCTGCTCGATTCATTTTATGAAAAATATAAAATGAATTGAGAAGTTAGTGAATCCTATAGACAGGGAAAGGAGAAATGATGTAAAAATTCAATATCTTTTTTCTTTCTTCCTCCATCTCCCTCTCTCTCTCTCTCTCTCTCTCTCTCTCTCTCTCTCTCGTTCTTCTCTTTTTTTTTTTTTGTCTCCTTAGTAGTAATTAAAAAAGAAGAGAGAAAATTGCTTAAAAACAAAAAGGTCAAATGAAACATAAATATGTGACACAGTGACAATTTGTGACATTGATAAGCATTACATAATTGTGATAATATTATTATCATTTCGGATTAAATCCGTTATGGAAATTTAAAATCAAAAAAAAAAAAAAAAAAAAAGGAAGAGCTAAACAGATAAATAATAACGATGATAATAATGAGATAAGTGATGATAATAATAATGAGACATTTTTATCTTTATAGATTCTACAATTAGCTAAGAAATGATAAATATTAGTAAGAAATGATAATACTAGATTAGAGCTAATAATAATAATCAATGATAATAATAAATAGTAATAATAATAATAATAAATAATACTAATATTAGTAATAATAGTAATAATAATAATAATAACAGATAATAAAAAAATAATAATAACAATAACAACAATAAATAATAATATTAATAATGAAAAATAATAATAACAATAATAATTTATAGGAAATAAACGAATGAATGACTAAATTGAATGAATGAATGAGTGGATGAATGGAATGGAATGGAATTGAATGGGACTGAATGGAATTGAATGGGACCGGATGGGACTGAATAGGACTGATCGAGACTGAATGGGACTGAATGGGACTGAACGGAACTGAATGGAACTGAATGGGATTGAATGGAATTGAATAAGACTGAACGGAATTGAATGGGACTGAATGGAACTGAATAGGACTGAACGGGACTGAATGAGACTAAATGGGATTGAACGGGACTGAATGGGACTGAATAGGACTGAACAAGACTGAATGGAACTGAACGAAACTGAATGGGACTGAACGGAATTGAATGGGATTGAATGGAACTGAATGGAATTGAATGGAATTGAGTGGAACTGAATGGAATTGAATGGAACTGAATGGAATTGAATGGAACTGAATGGAATTGAATGGAACTGAATAGAACTGAATGGAATTAAATGGAATTGAATGGAATTGAATGGAACTGAATGGAACTGAGCGGAACTGAATTGAATTGAATGAACCGAATGGAATTGAATTCTATTGAGTGAGTGAATGAATGAATGAAACTATATAGATTTATTTAATGAATCTATATATATATATATATATATATATATATATAGATTTATTTAATATAATATTTAAATTAATGTGAATTGTAAAATATAAAATATTGATAATATTAAATAATAATAATAAAAAAATAATAGTAAATAATAATAATAATAATAACAATAATAAATAATAAACTAATAATAATAATAATAATAATTTATATGAAATAGACAAATGAATGACTGAAGTTAATGAACGAATGAATGAAACAAATAAAGGAATAACAAATAAACGATAGAGCAAAACAATCTGTCAAATTGTAACACTGAAAAACTGAATGAACAATTTTATTGAATGAAAATATTTATTTCATTATAAATATATAAAAAATATATATAAATTTATTTAATATAATATTTAAATTGGTTTCAACTGTAAAATATAAATTTTAGGAAGTGCTTTTAGGAAGTGCTTGATATATGCTAAATTAATTTCATTTTTGCTAAATTAATTGATTAATTGATATATGCTAAATTAATTTCAACAAAATTTCATTTTTTTTGCTTCATTTTTGCTAAATTAATTGATATATGCTAAATTAATTTCATTTTTTAGCCGAACAAAATTTCAATGTTATTTTACTTATTACTATTTTTTATTTTGTCATTTAGAAATATTATTAATGATTAATTATCCAATGTAAAAATGACAGATAAGTAAAGTAAATTGTATTATATATAATTTTATGCAAATACAATAAATAAATACGATTGAAATAAAACTTTTTTTTTGAAATAAATAAATAAATATTTTTGCTTTATTCAATTGTTTAATAATTTGAACTGTTTTTTAACTTTAATCTATGATAAACACATAAATAAATATTTTTCAAATGTTTATTTCAATTCATTATATTTTGCCTAAATAATTAATCATAGTTTAGTAAGATTATTATTTATTTACTTTTTTTAATGAAAGATTAAATCTCTTCACATATTTATGTATAAAATATCTAAGGAACAATTTATTTTTTGGATGGATATGAATTTAAAAGTAATTTGTAAGCAATTTGCGATATAAAATTTTTATTAAAAATGGACAAATAAATGAATGTATTTTTTTTTTCTTTTTTTTGAATTAAAAATGAAAATTTTCCTCAATAGGCAACTAATTGATTGGATGTGTCATTTTTTTTTTTTTTTTTTTTGGCATAAATCGATTAACAACTTTTCTTCTCTTTTCAAATTGTCAACAAAAACGATGAGAAAGAATGAAAGCAATAAAGAAATTGATTAAAAATTAAAAAAAAAAAAAGAAAGAAAGAAAAATACGAAAGAGATAATAAAATAATACAAAAAATACAAATAAAAAAAATTAAAATCAATTCTATTTCATATTGTTCACTTATTCATCTTTTACATTACTTTTAAAATTTCCAGATAAAAATTATCAATTCAATTCTATTTTACCGTATTGTAGTATTGTAAAATAGAATATTTTAAATATACAATAAACATTTTTGGTTTAATTTTTTAGTAATTGTTTTAAACAATTTTTTTTTTTTTTTTTAATAATAATAAATATTTGGTTTAATTTTTCTTTTTTTTTTTAATAATAATTAAATGAAATTCTTTTGACAATCAAATATACATTAAAATTGCTATAAACTAGGCTATTTTATTAAAATTTCGTTTGGAAAAAAAGAAAAGTGGCCAAATGGAGGAAATGAAATGAAAATAAGATAAAAAAAAAAAAAAAAAAAAAAAAAAACATCAATTCTTTTATATATGGGAAAGAGAAGCTTATCAATTTATAATAATATTTGAGAAGAAGAAAAAAATAGAAAAAAGAAACTAAATATAGAAATATGATTGCATTTTAAAAGAAAAAAAAAAAAAACTAAATTAATATATATTATTTATTGTTATTATTTACTAATAATCTTTTCGTTATCATTAAGTGCTTAAATTAGTTTTAATTCAATTTGTTTCAATTAGTTCAACAAAATTTGATCATTATTGATTGATCTATAGATTATATTTTAATCTATACGATTAGTAGATGTGTTCCATTTAATTTTATCAACATTTTTCAAACACTTTACACACCTGACTATTCAACAGAAATTGATGAAAAGGAAAAAAAAAAAAAAAAAGAATGAAAAAAGTAAATGATTGAAATACATATTAAATTATGGAATTCGTCGCTGTAATCCGTCCTTGTTGCCGTCGTTATCGTTGTCGTTGTCGTCGTGCTCGTCGCAGTTATCATCGTTAATGCCGTCGTCGTCTTTGCCTGTCACTAGCGTTATGGCTGAAGTAATTTGGCTACTGCTTCCACCTTCTGTTGTCGTTGTTGCCGCTGCCGCTACCGCCTTGCCGCTATCATCGAAGAATCAACGAGACAGACAGATATTTGAAGAGACAATGATTTTCAATTTAAACAACGAGAAAACAGCTACAAACTGAAACACACATACAAGGCGTAGACACACAGATAAACAGACGCACACACACACACACACATACACATAGACCTTTGATCTTGTGGTGCATGCGCATACACATGTATACATATATACAAACGCACGCGAAAGTGAAAGTTTGGAAAGGACGAGAAAGCTGTGGTGTAAGATGAAGATCGAGGAACGTCGTATCACGTCACGTCACGTCACGTCACGTCATGTCACGTCGTATTTAGTATGTCTATTGTGTTTCTTTGAAAAAACGAACTGACGAACAACTTTTCTTCGTCTGTCAGCATCCTCTCCATCGTCCTCTTTCATCCATCCATCATTTTATTTATCAAATTTATGGCTGTAATATAGTTTTTTTAGCTTTCGTCTCTCTCTCTCTCTGTCCCTCTGCCTATCTTTATTTTCTTCCCTCTCTCTCTTTGATTCTTTTCTTTCAATTCGTCCAGATCGTGAATATATATATGAAATAGATGATGGAAAGGTATGGTACTAGCTGAAAACGATTGCATAGCACAATGCCAATTGCGGACACTGATATGCTATAGCGCCATTTGCGGATTTGCGGACGATAATAGAGTACAGTGTGGTTGCGGACAGTAACACAGTGCAGTGCGGTTGCGGACAGTGACACAATAGATGGAGTACGATTGCGGACAGTAAAATAATAGACAGTAACATAATATGGTGCCATTTGCGGACAGTAACATAGTGCAGTGCGGTTGCGGACAGTGACGCACTACTAGTACTAATTGCGGCCTGTAATACAATAAGGATTGCACCTGGTATCAACGGAACATATCAGTTGCAAACATCGAACAATACTGTGATATATTCAGTACGATAGTACATTTTGTACTTCCGTTTGGTTGAATACTCTCATTTACTTACAATAAAATGAGAGCAGGTGGTTGAAATAGAGTTAGAAGATTGAATAATTTACAGGAATTAACGTAATGGAATAATTGGAATATAAATAAAATAAGACATAAATACAAATAACTACTCAATTGGATTAATAAAATTTCCTTCGTAAATGAAAAAAAAAAAAAATTTCTGTATTGATTGAAATAATTGTATAAAAGTAATGTGACATAACTAATAAAATGAATTGTTCTCTTTTTCCTAATTTCAAATTTTAATTTAATATGATAATTAATTAATTTATTTGCTATTTATATGTCAATGATATATTATTTCAATTGATTTTTTCATTATAATAGGATAATTTTTGTGATGTGAAATTACATTATAATACAATTATACATCTTCTTCTTTTCTTTCTTTTTTCAAAAAAAAAAAAGTTCTTATGAAAATTTGAAATTTTATGAATTGATGAAATATGTAAGAAAATAAGTTTTCTTTTTAAAAAAAATTAAGCACAAGTGATAAAAAATTATTTTGAAAATTTTAAGTCAGAAAAATTTGAAATGTTTGTGAAAATTTTTTGTCACTTTTGTAGCTGATTGAAACACACTGATAATAATAAATCAATTTTCAAATCGATTTATTGAGTAACAGTAGATCGATTTATGAGATAAAAAAAAAATTATTTGTTGCACATAAGATTGATTTATTATTATCAAATAGATTAATTGATTTAATGGATGGGAAATGATTAAATTTTAGGAAAAAAAAAACTGTGAAAGATAAGGAATGAAATTAATAGAATTAAATTGTTGGCTGTTTATGATAATAAAAATAAATTTGAAAATAAATGAATGATTTAGCTAAAATGTTCAGATCAAAGATCAAATCCATCTTATAAAAGTTCAATTTGATATATCTTATCAGCTAAACAATTGAAATGTGTTATTTATCAATTAGCTGTATGATCAGCGTAAGAGCGTTTAAGAAAAAAAAAATTGATAAATTAACAAATCATTAAAAGTGCTTTTATTTGAATGCAAATGAATTTAGGAAAGGAGAAATTGTCACAAAAATGTCACACTGATTATAACTGATAGAATATTGATATTATAAAAATAATTTAACATTTAATATCCTTAATCTACTTAAATTACATTGATATTGTGATATGATAATATTGGTAAATTATTTACACTGATTTGATAATATTGATTAAATCAGTTGAATCAATTAATGCTTTTTGAAGAATGCGGCATTGATCATTTAATGATTTAATGAGCAAAGAAAAAAAAAAATCATATTAAATTTCTCATAATTTCATTCAGTTTAACAGCAAATGTTTTGAATCTAATAGATTTAATCAATAATAATTAGGATTCTATAGCAGTTTTACTAATTATCAATTAATTAGTTATTTTTAAAAGTTATCAAATATAGTTCTGATAATAATATCATATTATCACGAATCAATTATTCTAAAAAAAGATTTGAGCGCAAAATTAAAATTATAAATTCAAATATAAGCATAAAACTGCTGAAATTGTTAAAATATGCATAAATTACGTAAAACTGATAGCTGTAATTATTTGAAACTACTACAACTGAATGGAATTTTTTTTAATAAAAACTTTTCTTAATTAAATGAAAAAATTAATTTGACAAAAATATAATTTAAGCTAAAAATATAAATATAAAATTCTGCTTTTGAAACTTAGGTAACATTAGATGAAAAATTTAACACTTATTGGCTTGGCTAGTAGAGATATGATAGCAGTTTATATCAATTATAAATTTATCACTAAAGTCAAATTTTTTATATCAGATTGCAAAAATTATAAAAATTTTTCTCGAGAAATATATCAATCGGTAAAGCTTATTTAATTAAATTAAGCTACAAAAATCTAACAAAACAAAAATTTTAAGTTATTTTAAAATAAAAATAGGTGTAAGAAAATGTTAAATTTGAAATTTTGCAATCATTTAGCTTTCAGCATGAAGGTAATATGTAAGCTTAATTGCTAAACTTTTCTGATTTTGATTAAAGTAATATTTAATAATTTTTTTTTTCCTTTTGATAAAAGTAATATGTAATACTTTTCTGATTTTGATTAAAGTAATATTTAATAATTTTTTTTTTCCTTTTGATAAAAGTAATATGTAATGTAATTATCATAATGATAATGGGTTATTTTAATTACGAGCACTATTTTAGAATTTGCTAATTTAAATCAAATTTATTATAATTGATAAGTGACAAAGATTAAAGAATAAATTCTCTCTCATTCCAATTAATTATTTCAAAAATTATCCTTATTAAAATTGAAAAGATTATAAATTCAAACCACATGTAAATTCTTGATAGGATTTTTTATCCTGAAATTAATTATAAATATATCCTGAAATTTGCTCATTTTTATAACAAATAATTTTTGCTTTTTCAAATTTGTCAAATTTTGAACGAGCTACAACTAATATCAATTTCAGGATTTTAAAAAAAAAAAAAGGTGACAAAATTTATTATTTCATACTCGAGGAATTTTATAAGAAAAAAAATTTAATTATTATTATTAATTATCATTTTATTTTCAGTATTCAATTGTCATTTTATGATTAGTTTTTTTTTTTTTTTTTTTTTTTCTTTTGCGACAAAGAAAATTCTGTCAAATAATTGAAAATTTGTCCACAAAATTATTATTAGTTTTATTGGATAGTTAAAACAATCATTTTTTGATTTGTCTAAAATGATCTTGATTTGATTCTAAATGATTACAGTAATTTTGATCAATTAGCTATGATCAATTCTTTTTTTTGAACTGATTATTATTCAGTGATAATTTTCCTAAATGCAAAGAAAAGAAAAAAGAAGGAAAATCAATTGCTTTTTGATCATTTATTAATTTCATTGATTGCCATTGATTAGCACATATTATCTGAAATATGAGCTAATATTCGATTACTTAAAATTAAATTGCAAATTCAAGAATTCAAATATTGCTAATAATTGAAGATAGCAATGACTAAATTTATAAATACCATAAATAATACAAATTAATCAAGTTTTTATTCCTTATCCTTGATCACTTTTGCTTTCTATTTACGCTTATCACTGATACATTCATTTATTTATTTATATTTTTTCAATTTCATTAATTTCATCACACTTTAAATGAATTTTTTTTTCTCTGATTTATTTTAACTAACTAATCTAATTTAGATACTAAATAGTTTAATTGATTCTTTTATTCTATATTATATTGCAACTAAAAAAAAAAAAAATAATTTCATAATTTAAACTAATTTAATCACTGAGTTATTTAATTTATTATCATCAAAACAGATAGCAAACATGATTTTTTTCTTTTTTTTTTTTTTTTGTTTTGAATTAATTGTATAATTATTTCATATAATTTTTGCAACTTTATAAAATTTCATCTTGAACTGATCAACTGATTTTAAAATAGAAATTACTGAAATAGCATTACCGAAAAAAATAAAATAATTATAAATTGGCTAAATTACAAAATTACAAATTAGAAATAATTATAAATTTAAGCAAAAAAAAAAAAAAAAAAAGAAGAACTAGACAGATGAATAATAACAATAATGGTAATGAGATAATGATAATAATGATAATGATAATGAGGCATCTTTGTCTTCCTAGATTTTATAATTAACTAATTAAAGAAAAAAAATTATAATTAATTAGAAATGACAATTATTAGTATGAATTGCTACTAAATTAGACTGTAATAATAATATTGAAAAATGAATTGCTAATATTAAATAAATAAATTAATTAAAAAACATTATATAATTTTCATTAAATTTGCTAAAAAAAATGTATAACGGAATGTGTAGTTTAATTTAATAATTTCATACTTATATTAAAAATGCAAATAATTATTTACAAACATTTTAGTGACATTTGGATAGATTACACTTCACTTTTGATACGTGTTGTCGCAGCACGGATTGGCGAAGTTGTAATGTAGTGAACAAAGGCTATTGTTCTAAGTGATTTTGATCTACTTTGTAACCTTAGCATCCATAAAATCCCTACCAATTTTCTTCCTCACAATGTCATTTATTATAATTCTTTGTTTTGGTATAGTTCGATTGCGAGATGCTTGCTTATATCTTTGAATGTTTTATAATTAATTTATATTTGTGTGTTATGTATCAATTCATTATTGTAATGTTGTATAATTTTTAATGTTAATGTGTGGTTTGGTTTAATTATCCAAATTTGAGATTTGAATAATAAAATATTTCACGAAGACTGCCATAGTACACGTGTCACAGAACAGAACCAGTACAGATTCGAGAATCTACCATCTATCGACGATAAAAAAGTCAACGATCTGAACTATCAAGAAAGGAAACTTACTTTGTTTCACAAGAAAACAGGACAGTAAGAAAGAAATTCTAAATTTGCTTTTACA